ACACCACACCATAGTAACTCTAACTCAGAAACCAATCCATGCAACAAACCTCGATGCCAACTCTGCCCACATATCTACACCAGCGACACCATCACAGGACCTAACCAGATCAGCCACACCATCACTGGTTCATTCACCTGCACATCCACCAACCATCATGTGCCAGCAATGCCCCTCTGCTATGTACATCGGCCAAACTGGACAGTCCCTATGTAAAAGGATAAATGGACACAAATCAGATATTAGGAATGGCAATATACAAAAACCTGTAGGAGAACACTTCAACCTCCCTGGACACACAATAGAAGATTTAAAGGTAGCCATCCTGCAGCCAAAAAACTTCAGGACCAGACTTCAAAGAGAAACTGCTGAGCTTCAGTTCATTTGCAAATTTGACACCATCAGTTCAGGATTAAACAGAGACTGTGAATGGCTCGCCAACTACAAAAGCAGTTTCTCCTCCCTTGGTGTTCACACCTCAACTGCTAGAAGAGGGCCCCATCCCCCCTGATTGAACTAACCTCATTATCCCTAGCCTGATTCTTGCTTGCATATTTATACCTGCCTCTGGAAATTTCCACTACATGCATCCGACGAAGTGGGTATTCATCCATGAAAGCTTATGCTCCAATACGTCTAAGTCTATAAGGTGCCACAGGACTCTTTGCCACTTTTACAGATCCAGACTAACACGGCTACCCCTCTGATACCTGTAAGCAAAAAATTACTCTTACTGTTAATTTTTTGCAATATCACCCATTGGTACATCTTTTCCCATAACCTCAGGGCATCGGGTTATTCTTTGGTCATTTACTTATGTTAGCATTTCTTTGCTCCAAGGCTGAAAATAGCGAGCTAAAATCTTGCAGGCTTCAGCCTACAGGCCTTGCGTTCCAGCTTACTTACTTAGAAACCTAATATATAATTACCCCTTCTAAATACTAATCAATCTTATACTTCTATAATCCTACAATTTAACTCTATTTAGCATACAGTGATTATATATGACATAACATGTTAGTTAATCATAACATCACACAATAAATGAACAATAAACTAAAATCATTGGCTACATACCCCTAATGGACAATGTCCAGCACCCAGTGGTCAGTGGTAATCTTGCCCCAGTTGTGTGCGAAGAGGGTGAGGCAACCCCCAGAAACCATCTGCAGGGCAGTGAGGTGGGGAGAGGAAGGTTCATGGGTCAGGGAAGGAGTCAAAAGGGTTGCTTGGAGGGACATTGAGGGAGGGTAGAAGCAGGAGTAGCAGCAGCAGCAGAATAGCGGGATTGCTGGGAGTGTGGATGATGCCAAGAAGAATCTGGTAGGTGCTCAGGGTAAGGTTGGTATGAGGGCCGAGGGTGGGGTATAAAGGCCCAGTAACCGGAGAGTGGCACAAAAGTCTCTGCGGGAGTGCAAAGACTCGTCCATTTTGTCATTGAACAACTTGTGGTTGTCGAAGGAGAGATCCTCATGGTGGTCTGGACCTCTTTTGGGAAGCCGCCAGACTGGAGCCAGGGAGTCCCGGTGAAGGATGACTCCAGATGCCAGTGAGTGGGAAGCAGTATTGGCAGCATCAACCACAGCCTGGAGAGCCCCCTTGGCCATCAACTTTCCGTCATCTAGGAGATGTTGGAAGTCCTGCTGTTTCTCTTGGAGAAGGAAGGCCTGGAAATCCACAAGGTTGGAGCATGAAAGGAAGTCATACTTGGCCAGGATGGCCTAGTAGCTGGCAATGCAGAACTGGAGGCCAGCAGAGGAGTAAACCTTGCAGCACAGGAGGTCAAACTTCTTGGTGGCCCAATCAGGGGGTGGGGACTGCAGGTGGTGCTAGCAGGTGTGCTTGGTCGCAGCTTGGACCACCAGTGAGTTGGGGAGCAGGTGGGTGAAAAGAAAGTCCCTGCCCTTGGAGGGCACCAAGTATTGGTGTTCTGTCTGCTTTAGTGTAGAGGCACAGGAGGCTGGAGAGTGCCAACCGGTCTGGACCAGTTGCAGGAGGGCATCATGGATAGGGAGGGCAGTACACGAGAGTCCGGGGGTTGTAGGATGTCCAGGAATGCCGTCAGTGCCTGTGGATCCTGGACATCTTCGACAGGCAGACTGAGGGCCATGGCCATACGTCGAAGTAAGTCCTGGTACTGCACATGGTTGGCGGGGGGAGAGAGAGCGGGAAGAATGATGGCATCGTCTGGAGATGAGGAGGTGCCTGTATGGACTGGAGGTGGCGAAGATACCACCAGTACCGCTGGAGTGGGGATGGCCGGAGGTTCCTTGAAGACAGAGGGAGGGGCTGTGTGTGATGGGGATGGTTGGTGCTGTGATGGTTGGTGCTGTGATGCTGAGATGGCACCCTGCGCTCACGGCAGCGGTTCCAGGCGGCCCAGTAGGGTCAGGCGTAGGGGTTGCCAGGCAGCGCCGGCACCTGCGGGTAGTCGAACCATGGGTTGGCCAGTGGAGCATACACCAGAGGGTATAGTTGGCACCAAGGGTCCAGGCTTTAGGACCGTGCAGGCAAAAATGTGGGATCTGGTAGGCAGGACCGCTCGGAATCAGACGACGGGTCTGGTAGGTATAGAGCTGTTGGGAGTGTCAGTGCAGGAAGGGTGGGATTGTCCAGGAGCAGAGGTGCACCTGTGGAAGAGCCCAGCCGAGAAGTGTGGAGCGGAGTGAGAGGCTGGAGCAGGAGCAGCTTGTCCGCGGGAGATGATAGGCAAAGAGCGACTGGAGGCCTGGAGCGGGCAGAGAAGCCCACACACAGCAGCATGAGCTTAGCCGTTGGTGTGAGCGAGGACAAACATCCCAGCGGGCGCAGCACCGAGCAGGCCAGTCCGGATGGGCACGGTGGAGTTAACTGCAGCAGGGGCAACGGCGGCAGGCCAGTCACCATGTCTGGTGTTGGGGCCGGTAGAGGGCGGTGCTTTTAACTTGTTCTCAGAGAGGGACTTCTTCGGAGCAGGAACATCCGGGTCAACATACAACTTCTCAGCTGACCTGGCACAGCTCAGGGAGGCAACACTGCATTTGGGGGCAGTCCCTGTCGGGGAGCCACCCTTGTGCCCATGAGTGAGCTTCTTATGCGTACAGTGGGCTTTTGGGGGATGCACTGGTGCCGTCAGTGCCGGTCAGGAAGGGCACAGGGAGGTGCTCACTGCCAGTGTTGAGTGTAGTTCCAGAGGATCAGTGAGTCCTGAACCCAGGAGCGCATGTTCTTGCAGAGGCAGTTCTCTGGCCTCCCGGGTGTGTGGTGGGAACGATTGGCAGATGGAGCAGCGAGCAGTGATGTGAGCCTCACCAAGGCAATAAAGACAAGGTTGGCGCTTGTCACTCATAGAGAAGTAGCATGGGCACGAAGCACAGTGTTTTAACCCTACTGCCAGGGCATAATCCCCGGGAGGGGAGAAGTCCAACAGAAAACTAACTGATGAACAAACGGACAACAAACAACTAAAACTAGAAGAAAACTATGTACAACTAACAGAAGCAGTTCTCTTAGCAAGCTAAGAGCACTGAGGAACAGAGGTTGCGACTCTGGCCATGTGGCGGTAAGAGGGAACTGGAGTGACGTCGACTCACACAGCCTCTTAAATCCTTGGATGCGCCAAGCAGCAATGCACAACGCATGTGCAGGTCAATGGACACTACTATGAACAGTTCCAGCTCTGGCACATGGCATGCATGCATACCCACGTTTAGAATCCACATAGGGAGCAACACTTGAAGAAGAATTAGAGAGTTTCCATTTGTTTAATGTTCATTTTTAAATGTGCTGTTCTTGTCACATATTTTGCATAAGGGTTCTCTTATTTCTCATTGTGTTTGGTCTAATTTTACACTGTATATTCTTCAGCCATTGGGCTACTTCTTTTACACATTTAGTGAGGTGCATAGCACAGTTTTGGGTGAGACATAAATAATTATTGTTATTTATTGTAGCCATATTAAATTTAATTTAAAGTTTTTTTTTGGAGGGAGCTATTAATGATAAGATAGTGGTTTACCATAGCATACAATGTAATAATCTAACTAGTAATTGAAAATCCTACCTAAGTACAATGTGGGCAGTTAATATTACTCCAAAGACTGACATTTCTCAGTTACTGATTTTAGTATATTTAAACTGGCATCTTCAATATTGCAGTAATAGGGCTTGGCATTTAATCTTCTTGTCTATCATTTTAAGGAAATTAAAATCAAGCAAAAGTTATGCTGAGGCACTGTGGGATTAGGTAGCTGTGTTTTGTACAACTTCATAGGATTTCATTTCATAGCCAGAGGGCCCCAGCTCAGCCCTACACCCCAAACTCATCATCATCTGATCATAGCAGTTTAGTTATCAACTCCATGCAGACAACTCAAATACACATCTGCATTCAGGACTTCTGAAGGGAAGGGAAAGTGTCTTTATTTGTTTCTGTGAACCATTATTATTCATTATTGTACTGCAATAAAACCTAGAGTTCCCAGTCAAGGATCAAAACTTCATTGTGTTGGGTGATATAGTCATGAAATAAAAGACAGTCCCTGGACCAAGGCGAAAACACAATAGGTGGACAAAATAAATGAAGTATTTTTCATTATAAACAGTAGTCAGACTTGCCCTCTAACTAGTCATTATCACCTGGCAGCTTTTTGTACACATCAAGGCAAAGGTGAGTCATAAAGGGGGATTTGCATGGCAAAGCACCTACCATGCTCGCAGGTGCTCAAAATAGCAAATAAAATACTTCACAAATCTTTTTAGTAAAGCTACATGGATCAGAACCAATGAAAAATATTTGTTGAAACCTTTGTGAGCTACAAACACTTCTCTCACATTACAATTTTTCTAAAAGATCTGCTCTAGGAATTATTTTGGGGAAGTTCTATGGCCTGTGTTATAGGGGAAGCCAAACTAGATGATCACAATGGTCCCTTCTGTCCTTGGAATTTATGAATCTGAATATGCACAGCTCAAGCCCATGCTCGACTGACTCCTCTTCCCTCCCAGAATGCCCTGCTCACCTTGAGATCCCTGCTCTGGGATCGGAGAAGATCTTGAATGTATCCTTTGGGATCTTTAGAGAAACTCAGCATGAAATCACGTTGTATCTTTAGCTGGTTTATAGATTCAATTGTCTCATGAATCTGAAAAGTAGAAGAAATAATATGGACATTCTTGTATTTACGTGTCCCCAAGCCACAGTGTGTCTGAGTTTATCCTCTTTAGCCCATCTGTAATTCATATGAAACACAGAACTGTCATTTTGACAAATTACAGTTATTAAGAATCCCAAGGCATCTTTTCCCAGAATAAGCATGTTAACTCTGATGTCTTGGCCATGTTCTGCTTTCCTGACTGCTCCTACACTTCACCTAGATACAGAATTCTTTTTCACATCCTGCCCTGAACTGTTGGATAGTATGAAGCATGCACTGTCAAGAACTAACTTATTTCACTGGAGGATTCAGTGATCCCTGTGGACAGTGAGCCAGTTTGCCAAGTCTGTTAAGATATTTTGGGATCTTTCTGGATGAAAGATGCTATATAAATATGTAAATAGAATTGTCTCTATTAAAACAAAGCAACAAATATAGGCACTGATGCAGGAAAACACTAAAGCACAAGGGCCCACAATAGTGGTACCCTTAACTCACTCAACAATATTGTTAATCTATCCAGCTACACTCTTAGCCCAGCAGAAGAGCCTGTCCTATCTCAGGGCCTCTCCTTCTGCCCCACCACCCCCATTGACATCATACAGTTCTGCAGCGACCTAGAATCCTACTTTCACCGTCTCTGACTCAAGGAATATTTCCACCACACTGCTGAACAGCACACTAACCGACAGAAACCTTCCTACCAATAAAAAGAAAAGGAGTACTTGTGGCACCTTAGAGACTAACCAATTTATTTGAGCATGAGCTTTCGTGAGCTACAGCTCACTTCATCAGATGTATACCGTGGAAACTGCAGCAGACTTTATATACACACAGAGAATATGAAACAATACCTCCTCCCACCCCACTGTCCTGCTGGTAATAGCTTATCTAAAGTGATCAACAGGTGGGCCATTTCCAGCACAAATCCAGGTTTTCTCACCCTCCACCCCCCCACACAAATTCACTCTCCTGCTGGTGCTAGCCCATCCAAAGTGACAACTCTTTACATAATCAAGTCGGGCTATTTCCTGCATAGATCCAGGTTTTCTCACATCCCCCCCACCCCCATACACACACAAACTCACTCTCCTGCTGGTAATAGCTCATCTAAACTGACCACTCTCCAAGTTTAAATCCAAGTTAAACCAGAACATCTGGGGGGGGGGGGGGGGTTAGGAAAAAACAAGAGGAAACAGGCTACCTTGCATAATGACTTAGCCACTCCCAGTCTCTATTTAAGCCTAAATTAATAGTATCCAATTTGCAAATGAATTCCAATTCAGCAGTTTCTCGCTGGAGTCTGGATTTGAAGTTTTTTTGTTTTAAGATAGCGACCTTCATGTCTGTGATTGCGTGATCAGAGAGATTGAAGTGTTCTCCGACTGGTTTATGAATGTTATAATTCTTGACATCTGATTTGTGTCCATTTATTCTTTTACGTAGAGACTGTCCAGTTTGACCAATGTACATGGCAGAGGGGCATTGCTGGCACATGATGGCATATATCACATTGGTGGATGTGCAGGTGAACGAGCCTCTGATAGCGTGGCTGATGTTATTAGGCCCTGTGATGGTGTCCCCTGAATAGATATGTGGGCACAATTGGCAACGGGCTTTGTTGCAAGGATAAGTTCCTGGGTTAGTGGTTCTGTTGTGTGGTATGTGGTTGTTGGTGAGTATTTGCTTCAGGTTGCGGGGCTGTCTGTAGGCAAGGACTGGCCTGTCTCCCAAGACTTGTGAGAGTGTTGGGTCATCCTTTAGGATAGGTTGCAGATCCTTAATAATGCGTTGGAGGGGTTTTAGTTGGGGGCTGAAGGTGACCGCTAGTGGCGTTCTGTTATTTCTTTGTTAGGCCTGTCCTGTAGTAGGTAACTTCTGGGAACTCTTCTGGCTCTATCAATCTGTTTCTTTACTTCTGCAGGTGGGTATTGTAGTTGTAAGAAAGCTTGACAGAGATCTTGTAGGTGTTTGTCTCTGTCTGAGGGGTTGGAGCAAATGCGGTTGTATCGCAGAGCTTGGCTGTAGACGATGGATCGTGTGGTGTGGTCAGGGTGAAAGCTGGAGGCATGCAGGTAGGAATAGCGGTCAGTAGGTTTCCGGTATAGGGTGGTGTTTATGTGGCCATTGTTTATTAGCACTGTAGTGTCCAGGAAGTGGATCTCTTGTGTGGACTGGACCAGGCTGAGGTTGGTGGTGGGATGGAAATTGTTGAAATCATGGTGGAATTCCTCAAGGGCTTCTTTTCCATGGGTCCAGATGATGAAGATGTCATCAATATAGCGCAAGTAGAGTAGGGGCTTTAGGGGACGAGAGCTGAGGAAGCGTTGTTCTAAATCAGCCATAAAAATGTTGGCATACTGTGGGGCTATGGGGGTACCCATAGCAGTGCCGCTGATCTGAAGGTATACATTGTCCCCAAATGTAAAATAGTTATGGGTAAGGACAAAGTCACAAAGTTCAGCCACCAGGTTAGCCGTGACATTATCGGGGATAGTGTTCTTGACGGCTTGTAGTCCATCTTTGTGTGGAATGTTGGTGTAGAGGGCTTCTACATCCATAGTAGCCAGGATGGTGTTATCAGGAAGATCACCGATGGATTGAAGTTTCCTCAGGAAGTCAGTGGTGTCTCGAAGGTAGCTGGGAGTGCTGGTAGCGTAGGGCCTGAGGAGGGAGTCTACATAGCCAGACAATCCTGCTGTCAGGGTGCCAATGCCTGAGATGATGGGGCGCCCAGGATTTCCAGGTTTATGGATCTTGGGTAGTAGATAGAATATCCCAGGTCGGGGTTCCAGGGGTGTGTCTGTGCGGATTTGATCTTGTGCTTTTTCAGGAAGTTTCTTGAGCAAATGCTGTAGTTGCTTTTGGTAACTCTCAGTGGGATCATAGGGTAATGGCTTGTAGAAACTCGTGTTGGAGAGCTGCCGAGCAGCCTCTTGTTCATATTCCGACCTATTCATGATGACAACAGCACCTCCTTTGTCAGCCTTTTTGATTATGATGTCAGAGTTGTTTCTGAGGCTGTGGATGGCATTGCGTTCCGCATGGCTGAGGTTATGGGGCAAGTGATGCTGCTTTTCCACAATTTCAGCCCGTGCACGTTGGCGGAAGCACTCTATGTAGAAGTCCAGTCTGCTGTTTCGACCTTCAGGAGGAGTCCATCTAGAATCCCTCTTTCTGTAGTGTTGGCAGGGAGACCTCTGTGGATTAGTATGTTGTTCAGAGGTATTTTGGAAATATTCCTTGAGACGGAGACGTCGAAAATAGGATTCTAGGTCACCACAGAACTGTATCATGTTCGTGGGGGTGGAGGGGCAGAAGGAGAGGCCCCGAGATAGAACAGCTGCTTCTGCTGGGCTGAGAGTATAGTTGGATAGGTTAACAATATTGCTAGGTGGGGTGAGGGAACCATTGCTGTGGCCCCTTGTAGCATGTAGTAGTTTAGAAAGTTTAGTGTCTTTTTTCTTTTGTAGAGAAGCAAAGTGTGCGTTGTAAATGGGTTGTCTAGTTTTAGTAAAATCCAGCCACGAGGAAGTTTGTGTGGAAGGTTGGTTCTTTATGAGAGTATCCATTTTTGAGAGCTCATTCTTAATCTTTCCCTGTTTGCTGTAGAGGATCTTGATCAGGTGATTCCGCAGTTTCTTTGAGAGCGTGAGGCACAAGCTGTCAGCATAGTCTGTGTGGTATGTAGATTGTAATGGATTTTTTACCTTCAGTCCTTTTGGTACGATGTCCATCTGTTTGCATTTGGAAAGGAAGATGATGTCTGTCTGTATCTGTACAAGTTTTTTCATGCAGTTGATAGATTTCCACTCCATACGGCTAAATGCAGTGCCTTGCATAATGACAGGTTTCAGAGGAACAGCCGTGTTAGTCTGTATTCGCAAAAAGAAAAGGAGTACTTGTGGCACCTTAGAGACTAACCAATTTATTTGAGCATGAGCTTTCGTGAGCTACAGCTCACTTCATCAGATGTATACCGTGGAAACTGCAGCAGACTTTATATACACACAGAGAATATGAAAAAATACCTCCTCCCACCCCACTGTCCTGCTGGTAATAGCTTATCTAAAGTGATCAGCTAAGTCATTATGCAAGGTAGCCTGTTTCCTCTTGTTTTTTCCTAACCCCCCCCCCCCCCCGATGTTCTGGTTTAACTTGGATTTAAACTTGGAGAGTGGTCAGTTTAGATGAGCTATTACCAGCAGGAGAGTGAGTTTGTGTGTGTATGGGGGTGGGGGGGATGTGAGAAAACCTGGATCTATGCAGGAAATAGCCCGACTTGATTATGTAAAGAGTTGTCACTTTGGATGGGCTAGCACCAGCAGGAGAGTGAATTTGTGTGGGGGGGTGGAGGGTGAGAAAACCTGGATTTGTGCTGGAAATGGCCCACCTGTTGATCACTTTAGATAAGCTATTACCAGCAGGACAGTGGGGTGGGAGGAGGTATTGTTTCATATTCTCTGTGTGTATATAAAGTCTGCTGCAGTTTCCACGGTATACATCTGATGAAGTGAGCTGTAGCTCACGAAAGCTCATGCTCAAATAAATTGGTTAGTCTCTAAGGTGCCACAAGTACTCCTTTTCTTTTTGCGAATACAGACTAACACGGCTGTTCCTCTGAAACCTTCCTACCAATGCTACAAAAAGAAGGATTCTGCGTGGACTCCTCCTGAAGGTCGAAACAACAGACTGGACTTCTACATAGAATGCTTTCACCGATGAGCACGGGCTGAAATTGTGGAAAAGCAGCATCACTTTCCCTATAACCTCAGCCGTGCAGAACACAACGCCATCCACAGCCTCAGAAGCAACTCTGGCATTATAATCAAAAAGGCTGATAAAGGAGGTGCTGTAGTCATCATGAATAGGTCGAAATATGAACGAGAGGCTGCTAGGCAACTCTCTGACACCACATTCTACAGGCCATTACTCTCTGATCCCACTGAAGGTTACTAAAAGAAACTACACCATCTACTCAAGAAACT